ATTTGATGTCATCTTTTATTTAATCAATATAAATTGCTGATCCTGAAAAAGTAGCTACATTATATTCCATAGATATATTATTCAGATTAAGAGAGTAAATATCTTTCATATACATTACTCCTCCCAAGTGAGCAACACTATTTCTATAAGTTGATCCAATATCTTAAAAACTTGAGTTTATAACAGCAATAACTCCTCCAAACTTTGAATAGTAATTATTAAAGAATTGATTGTTCATCAAAAGTAATGATTCTGCATTGTTGACGAATATTGCACCAAAACTATCTTATTAAGAAAGCTGTGAATACTCACTCTCACTAGGAACAATAAATTCTTTATTTTGGTCAAATCTTGAGGTAGATATTAGAACTTCAGTATCTACTCCGACACTTGCTAAAAATGAACCACTAATACTTTGATACTGCGTGAAATTTGAACGTGTTATTGATATTGATCTAGAATTTTCTGAATGTATAAATCCTCCCATCTACTTATAAGATCTTGAACTTTACTGAAATATTTCTTCAATCTCTATAATTGTATCTTTGGAATCAACATAAATAGCTCCTCCTCTATTGTAGGCATAAGTTTATGAGATCTAGCTCAACTATGTTATTTTTAGCAAACTAGAACCTTCAAGTGTGATTAATTATCTTAAAAAGACCCAATCTTCTTACTAATTTTAAATTGAATTGTTCTATGTCAAATTTTGATTCATATCTCTTGGTTTAATGAAATTTTTTAGAATTCTAGATTATGTCTAACCTTATCCTAAGTCTTAAGTATAAGCATAGATAAATCCTCCATTGTTATAAGCATAAGTGTTTTACACTAAATTTTGAATGAATTAGATATTTGATGGCCCGTTGACTGAGATGCTACCACCATTTAATGCAAAATTATTGGAGAACTAGGTTTAGTTGAATATAGCATGACATTTTTCACAATAAACTGCTCCCCCACTCATTGCTTAATTGAATGAGAAAATTGAGCCAGCATCATAAAGCGTTGTATTTTACAAATTGAATATACCTCCATGCTATTGGTAGTAGCAATTTTAGAAATTACTTGATGTCACTTATATGATGTCTACATTTCTGATTACAAAAGGAGTTGGATTTTATAGATTAAATTGAGATTCAATGAAATTAACAGAATCATCTTCCAAATGCTGTTTAGAGACATAAGTTTTATCGAATTACAAGGCTTAACACTTAAGCTGCACTTAATCAATCTCAATATTTTTTCCTGCCAATGCTTGAATGATTGAATATTTATTGAAGTTTAAGAGATCAACTGACTTTAAGGTAAGAGCCTTAAATCTCTTCAGGAAAAAAAGAACATTAGAGCTTTATTCACTTGAAAAGTTGAAGTTCTCATATTACAATGTTATATTTGCAAATTCTGAATTACTCTAAATAAATATTTCAAAAGCTTATCTAACTTAATTATCTTCATCAATAGATTATAACCATTAGTTATTGTAATTGGCCAGCATATATTAATTTTGACTCAAGTTGATAAATTAGCTTTATTCTTATAAATTCTCTTCGAAATAAATGAAAGAACCATTATTTGAAGCCATTATATTATCAAAAATAGAGTCTTTAACTTCTATAGTCAGCTTTGTAATATTTGAACCTATATACAAAATACCACCATTAGAATTAGCTAAAATGTTAGTTGCCTAAATTTCTGAAATATCTAATATTGCTTATCCTGTAACTAGTTAAATCAATCCAAATTGTGAAGTGTAAATTTAAGAAAACTATGTCTTGGCTATTTCAATTTATACGTTAATTTCAGTTTACAGTTGAAATATACCGTTAATACCGATTAGAAATTCAAAAGTTGAAAGTTAAATACTGATACTGTGGCACTATGTTCCACAAGTTTATAAGAACGGCTAAAAACTTTTGGAATCTGAAGTTTGGTTTAAATTATTAAGATAAATGTCTAATTCTGAATTTTCTTCTATTCTGACACTATTATTATATCTTTTCCTGAAATTGATTATGCTTCCACAAGAGTCAATGTTTTCAAATTAGGTATTGATGATTTCAACATGTCCACCGAATTCATTTAATTCAATTATCGAATTGAAATTGTAAATGAAGTTTTTAAATGCCACATTCTAAATGATTAAGTCTATAGGATATTTGAAACTTACCTCTAATTTTAGAACAGGTGGAGATTATAGCATTGTCTAAAAACTAATATCAAACTAAATGAAAGTTCCAAATGCTTAATTAATCGTGCATGATTTATGTCTATAAAGAATATTAAATAAAAGAATTTACGGTAATTCATTAATTTAGCAAAATTATTGGCCTGTAATGACATATTTTTTCTTTTCAAAATCAAATACTGATTAACAACAGCTTTTTGATGAGTCTTTCAAGCATTCATAACCTTCTGATTCAATTAAGTTTAAATCTATATTCTATTCCCTTAGATCAAGTATTGAATCAGTTGCATCAAATTAAATATTTTTGATTGTCAAGCCTCCTCCAACTAGAAACCAAACTTTGTCTCTTAATTTGTAATATATTATTACTGGAACTTGATCTATTGTGTCAATTATGATTTTCGTAGTTTATGAGTTTTTATCAGGGTTCTTAAATATTCCAAGATTTGACTGATACCTTGTCATAGAATGGGATTGGTTTGAAAATAATAAGATAGTGATTATTGCTGACTAGTAAGGTGAGCCTAAAATATAGGCTGTAGTCAAAGCATCTTGCAAAGAATGGTAAGGCTAATTAATTGAACCATCTATTATTGTTTCTGTCTCCAGTTTCTACCTTGTTTTAACATAAATAGTACTCTCAAACTATCCTGATTTCAACTCACATTTTCCAACATTTTTCCCTTATTCCAAATTTAAGTAAAACCCTTTCTTGCATGAGATACATTCAAATTATGATGTACACTCATGACATGATGAATCACATTCCATGCAGACTGTACTTTCAATCATACTTTTGTATCCAAAGCTAACAGCACCATACTTGCCAACACCACAATTAGCTACACATTTTCCTATCTATTAGTCCACATATCCATCTAGACATGCTAATATTGATTCTTAAATAACATCTACACCATTTTGATCTAAATTAAATGAGCAGCTTAAAGTTTTTATGATCGCTTCATTTTTCTAATTACATTCTAAAATTTGTTGAATATTAATATATTTCTTACTATAGCAAAGTTTTTAACTTCCTAATTAAAATGCTGAGTAGCCATATATACAATTTTCACAAATATATTATGATGTAGCATTAAGACATATTTCTGGCTGGATGTCTAAAAGAATTTAAATCTAACATACAAAGTATACTAGAAAGGCAAATATCTTGATATATATTAGCAGTTGAGTTGAAGTAGCCATTTTAGTCTAAATAATAACCAGATTTACATATTAAACAGTTGTATTGATTTTCAAAGTAAAATATTTCACAGTTCAAATCTGAGCTCAAGGATGATGATGTTAGTGGGACTAAGTTTATTTAATTAAAGTATCTTACCACATATGTAGTTTGAGTCATTTTCATAGGTAGCTCTCTAATTTACTATTTCATTGCACTAGGTACACTAATTGATATTTGTGGAAGTGCACTATTCACATTCATGGTTAGTTAAGCATTCTAGAATAAACGTCATATATTTTAATAAATAACTATATCAATACGAATCTAATCATTTCAAAATTAAAGCTATACTTACTAGTACACAGAGAAAAATTAGATAAAAAGTAATCTTAGGATATTATGGTATTTGTCCAACCTTTCTAAAGCTATTATCCTTAGCATGTGATGCAACCATATTTTTCATTACAATTTTGACAAGTTGGTCCACACCCTTAAAAATATGATAATTATCATTTCTTACAGGAACATTTTGAATTTGCAAGATTATTCGAATATGATTGATGTGCTTGATTGCATTCAGGAGTGCAATATGAATAATGATTACTCAGGTTCCCCATTATCGCATCCTAGTTTAGAAGAGTTAGTCCATTCGAGCATTAAAGACATCAAAGCAAAGTTGTTTGAGAATTTTCTTCAATCTCACACAAGCTGCATCCAAATATAGCATCACCGCACTCTAATAGATGTTAAATGATATTTAGAGTTTTTACATCTACAAAGGGCACTTTCTGTATCAAAATAACTTTAATCGTCACCTAAAAACAGATTACAGTGGAAATACTTACAAACTGAGGTAAATACCTATCTAAAAATGAAAAAAACTATCAATATAGTCAAGGGCTTAAAAGGGTTTATTTTCATTTTTAATTATTAATATAGGTGATAGAGATCAATCAATATAAGTCTAAATAAAAATCTTTCTAATTTAAAAACTTTATTAAATTTGTTGATATAACATACTGATAAATCTAATTTAATTCAATGTATAAATCTGTAATTTTATGATGCATAGGATTTTGGCTGCACGGGGTTTTGGGGTTTTGGGG